CAGATACATGTGCATAATTCCCTTTGACTTGCCTGGGCCCCATAAGCAGAGATCAAACCTTCAGGAATTGATTATAATGGTCACTTTTTCTTTTTTTTATCCCCCTATATGTTTGTAAAGAAGTTACTTGCAAGATGCTGAAGGAAAGCAAAAAATGAACCCCTGGCTTCTTCACTCCAGGTTTCAGTGACCTTCAGATATTGAAGGAGTTGCACAAAAACCTAGCAGAAAACTGTCACCATCTGGCTTCAGAGAGGCTTCACATTAGCCTCACATGAGTGGCAGACAGGCAGGAAGTCATCGATTTTGAGTTCTGGTCAAGGGAAGAAGTCATTTAGGCTTGATTTTTGTTATGTTTTAGAACAAAAGTAATAAGAGTAACTGCATTTATCAGGACAGCTGAATTTTTCCATATATACTTGTTCTTTGTCATGGAGCCAGTCCAGAACCATAACCCCAGTATTGGGTTAGTGGAGAAAGAACTGACTGAGCTACAAAGGCAAAGGCCCTCTTCTTAGCTCTGCCACTGATCCACTGAATGACCTTAGCCAAAACACCTCCACTCTGTGCCTCAGTTTCCCAGTCTGTGAAACAAGGAATGCAAAGCACAAAATAGCATCAGTCCCATCTTTTTCACTGCAAAATGTCTTTACTCTTCTCCTCTTCTTCAGCAGTGATCTGCAACTGCTTTATTCCTGGCCTGTATGGATGGATCCTTCCTTCCTGTGGAGGGGTGGTGAGTGTTCTTTGGCAGATATTCTGGGAGGTCTAATAACAGTGTTTGCACCAATTTGGGTCATGTTGGGACTCACAGACAAGATGGGGACAATGCTCATCTCCAGGAACCTTGATGCTTAGAGATCACATTAATTGCCAGTACCACTTTAATAATCTCTTTCACTAGTTTGTTCAGCTTGCAGAAGTACTTTTGATTTGGTCCCTCTGAAGCATGGTTCTTAAAAAACGGATATATCAAAGTCCCCTTATATTTTTTGGTTGAAATTTTAAGATGTACCTTTGTGGTACCATAATACCCCAGCATGGCTCTCATTCTCTACATAGTGAAGTAGATAACCCAATTTGGCTACTTCACTTTATAGACAGTACTTCTGCTTCTCTGTGAGGTAGTGTATCTCTATGCTGTCATCTGCCAAAGCTTGTGCCTGGTTATAGAAGAGCCTTATACCATTTGCTTAGAACTGCAACTTTCCCAACTCCAACCTCAGCCCACACTCTGAGAGAAGAGGTAGAGCTGAAGTGGTCTAACAACATACTCATTTTGGATGATCAAACCAAAGGATGGAGCTAGACTGTCCTCAGTGATGGCAGATGACTGCACAAGGAGCAAAAGTCTCAAGTTGCAGCAAGGGAAGTTTAGGTTAGATATTAGGAAGAATTCTCTCACTAGGAGGGTAGTAAAACACTGGAACAGGGTACCCAGAGAGGTGTTGGACTCTCCATCCTTGGAGGCTGTTAAGACCTGGCTAGACCAAGCTTTGGCTGGGATGATCTAGATGAGGCTGGTCCTGCTTTGAGCAGAGGGTTGGACTAGTTGTGACCTCCTGAGGTCCCTCCCAACCCTCATTTTCTATGATTCTATGATTCACCTAACTGCTCACTCATCCAAAATTCCTGCTCCAGCCATTCCCCCACAGTCCACTCTCCTTAAATCACCTTTCCATCATCTTCAAATTGACTTTCTCCGAACTGAACCTCCTCTAACCATGCACTCACTCAAAGCTCAGTTCTCTTCATCCAAGGCCCGTTCAACACAAAACAGCCTCTCTCTTCATCCTAAACATTCTGGTGTCCCTTCACATTAAAACCACTTCATGTACTGTCACCTTTCAGTAAATGGCTCATGAAACTTTTGAGTCAATGAACCTTGATCCTGGAAAGCCCTGGATTCTGTAACAGGTTAGCAACCATCTCAGCACAGACGTCAAGGAAGATGCCCTTGCTTGACCAAAAGTACTGCTGCCACCAGTCCCTCTCCCAGGTCCTCAGAACTCACTGTTTCCACCAGTCAGCACTTCTGTCATGGGCCCAAAAGCAGCGATATGCAGCCTGAAGGTGGACCCAGTGATCTGACAGTTCTCCCTGGAGTCACTTATTTCTTACTGCTCAGGCTTGGGTCTCTCAGATGTGCAGAGCACACAATACAACTTGAGGAAGGTCACTTTCTCACTTTCCAGGGCCAGGGTCATCAAGCTTTGAGCTGCCATGTGGCAATGCATCAGCCAGCCGAGATGGTCAAGAGGGGTGTGCTCACAAGACCTACAAGTACCATTCAATCCATTCAATCTGTGTCATGCATGAGGCAGGGTTTGCACAGGGAAAAATATCATGTGAACGAGTCATAGCTTCAATTCCAGGTTATGAACTGGAATTGTGCTCCCACCTACTTTAAACTCCTGCCCCTGGCACTCTCTGTTCATACTGCATGCTCCAAGGAGACAGAGAATCCTGACAATAATGCTACCAGACTCTGAAGAAAGGTTCATGGACTCGTTGCGAAGAAAAGCTTTCCAGAGGCTCAAACCTTGCCTTAATTATGGTGGATTTCTATAGTGATAGGTAAAAGGCACATCCTTGACACCAGCTTGACAAATCCACTCCCTCCTACTTGCCAAATTTCCTGGATCAATTAATAAGATATGCTAAAACAAAGTTAGGAAAAAACAGGATTTGTCTTTCTGAAAAAAAATGCTTCCAACTCTCTCATTGTTCTCATGCTTCCATGCTTTGATCCAGGGAATTTGGCAAGTAGGAGGGAGTGGATTTGTCAAGCGGGTGTCAAGGATGTGCCTTTTACCTTTAGCATGGAAGCATGAGAACAATGAGAGAGTTGGAAGCATTTTTTTCAGAAAGACAAATCCTGTTTTTTCCTAACTTTGTTTTAGCATATCTTATTAATAAAACACTAGCTCCCTAGACCCAATAATAAAATTGTCCAATCCAAGACACTGAAATGAATCCAAATGTATCCTCCAGCTCCGTCTCTTAATTATGGCAAAGATGCAGCCTTCCAGGTGGGTGCCTGCCCCAAAACCAACATCCTCATAAGGAGGAGGAGATGAGGTGAACATTGGTGTTGCTCTGTACATTGCAGTGGCACTGACAGTCCCTTTTCAGAACAATGCCTAATCCAGTGTTTCCCAACCCATGGGTTGCAACCCAAAAGTGGGTTACAAGAACATATGAAAGGGTCACAAAGAAACTTTAAAATGGATCAGCAAACTTTAAAACTGGATTCTCCTTTAAAGGAGAAAAACATGGGAAACAGTGGCATTTCACTTGCAGACTGGCAGAGGTCCAGATTGCAAGGGGCTGCTTGGAGCTGCTTGTCCCCCGCCCCACACACACAGACACACCCCACACACCCACTCCTTGCCCCACACACTGTGGGGCTGGATCCGGGGGGCGAGGGGCAGTGGGTCGGGACCAGCCATCTATGTTTACAAATGGGACCTGATACAAAAAAGGTTGAGAACCACTGTTGTAATCAGTCTGGCTCCGTATCAATATTCAGTGAAAGTTCCTGCCCCTAAGAGACAACTCTTCTGAAATTTCCCTGTGTCACAATCACAGGAATTATCTTGCCCATACTTTTAGATGTGTTATTCATCTTTATACAACTCTCATTTCTACCCTGTTCAGGTTTCGTCATCACCAATGTCTTTCCAAATAGTTTTCACAGTCAGATCTGCCCATGCAGACATGAGGTTTTGCAGCTGAGGCAATGTGTTTAAGTGGACCATACTGGTCACAGAGGCAATTCTCTTCCTATCTGCTTTTCTATCATCACACTCAACCTGTTTAAAACTTGGTCATTTGGAGCTAAACTGGTCTTACCTGGCACAGTTGGAATTGCCCTGTAAATTTCCAAAGCTGGGAAGAGCCCTTCCTGTCCTAGAATTCGTTGAGCTCTTGGCATACATTTTTCAGCATCTCCATTCAGTCAAGACAAGCATTTATCTGACAGACACTGTAATGAATGTGTCAGTTGGGTGTCTGCAAGGATTCGGTGCTGGCGGAAGGGTGCTTCCAATACACTCATCAGTAGCACTCCATCCATTTCAATGGGAAGTGAATAAGGACATCAGAGCATAGGACTAGAAGAGGGGCTCCTTGGCCATCAATCCATTTATGCACATTGTGAATCCCCCAAATCACCACTTTAACCCCTCACCCACAAATAAAAGGAACACTATCTGAACAAGAACACCTAATGCCATGCCACAGGTAAAAGCAAAAGTGATGAAGGGACTAGCAACAGTGAATGCATTGGAAACTGGCATCTTTAAAGTCTTGTCTGGTAACGATCAGCCATTATTTGTAACTAGTCCCCTTGCAGTTTCCTCATAAGTTCATACATTCTTGAACTCAGCCATTCCATCCACTCTCACAGGAATAATCAGTATGCAAGGCCCAATTCTCACACGCCAGCATGGTGCACGAGAACTAATAGTGAATCCAGGACAGTGAAAAGCAAGGGAAGTGGGAAGAGCTCCCCATGAACGTGGCCAGCAAATAAATCCAGAGCTCTTGGCAGTGAACCAGTGGCGAGAGGGGGTCCAGTCCTCTGCTTTCAAAGACAATCCTTAAGCAAAGGAAACTCCCATATTGTCACCCAAAACCCTCACCCACACTTACAAGAAACTATATCTGAACACCCTAGAATAGGTCAAGGCAAGGGAGATGAGGACACAGGTCATTAGAGTTTGCTAGAAAAATCCTATCCTGGAAATCTTCTCTGCCATAAGAGCCATAAAGAGATCTGAATTGCCATCTGTATTGCCAACAAGAAGAGGCTGTGACTGCACAGGTTGCACCATACAGGCTGGGATATTCATGAGTGAAGAAACATCTATGTAACAAAATTTACACCTGGCTTAAATGAACCAGGTACAAACACTACATGTCCCAACTCCACCTAAGCCTCCCCTCAATGATCCCTTTTAGCACATTCACAGCTCAAGGGCATTTTCAGACCAAACTCAGGGCAGCAGTCTGTTGTGAGGACAGGAGCATACCTCCTGAGCACACTTCTGTGCCTCTGCTACACTCTGATACAAAGTGATTAGCACCACCAAGCCCCACGCTCCTGGCCAGCTTGTACCCTGCTGCCACAAACTCACAGCACAACTAAAGATGGCAGAAGAGGATGCAAAGCACGTGCCTTTCTCTATTTTTTTTAAAGGCTGTGGATTCCTGATGTTTTATCAAATGGGAGTAATGAAAGCTCTACAGGAACTGGCCCCTGAGATACTGAGATCAGCATCCAAGATCTATGGGACATCCTCCGGAGCACTTATAGCCACATTAGTGACTTGTGGGTGTGAAATAGGTAAGAAACACCTGGTTGAATTTACTCTGTGTCGTATTGTGCTTTTTAAAGGAAAGTCAATGGACAGGTCTAAGAGTACTGACTGGAGCATTCATTAGGAAATAGGAAAACACAACCCAAGCAGCCTAGAAACAGCAATGGTCGCACTTTCTACTAAGGTGCCACGGTTCTAGTTATGTATAATAGTAGGTACCCATTAATAGTGCTATCGATGCTATGTAGTCTTACAGTAATAGTATCCTGTAGCGTTCAAGATGAGAGAATATGTTAATTAATTCTTATGGCATCTACCGGCTGATAAACCCAAAGCCTTATAGGTTTTGTTGCTTTAATACACAGCCATTGGACTTCATCTGCTGTAATAAAAGCCTTCATCATCCCCCAAAATGTCAAGTTTCTTGCCCCTGCACTGTTACTTACCAACTTTGGTAAAATCATTTTTTAACCTTCCTAACCAAACCTCAAATACACTGAGCTCCCTACATTTCTACATACCAGCCACATTCTCCAGAATATTAATAACACCGGTGGCTCTTGTTCTAGGCTCTTCTGTTTCCCACCTTCTCAGAGCCAGGACAATATCTACCGCACTCAGCTTCTCCGAAGGGATGGAGGCACCATAAACTTTGTAAACAATGCCCACTCGCTAGAACACAGGCAGGGATAGTTGGGCAGGGACCAGCTTGTCCAAAGAGCTCTGGACCAGATCTTCAGGTGCTCTCAGCACCCACCATCAAGGCCATCTTCTCAAAAATGCTCACCACCCAAAGGAACTGAGCTCCTCAATGAATCCAGCCCCACCTCTGAATCTTCTGTCCAGGCTTAGCAGCACCCTGACCCTTAACCCAGGAACCTCCTTCATACTAGCCAGTGCAGTCAAATGTAGCAGGCCTAACACCAACAACTGCTGTTGTGGTTTCCAATACAAATGATTTATTCACATATCACAGACTTCTCTGTCTTTGGTACTCACAGACCGAAAGGCAAAACTTGCTCCCGTATGGCTGCATGATCTGCTAAGCATGGTCACTTTTTCGTTCTAGATGCAGTGTTTGGTTATATGACTGAAACCGTGAAAAATATGGAGGGTTCAATCCTTGGGTACCTGTATCCAAATAATAAACTAATCCTGAATATACAGAAGGCATTAGAAAAATGTCTGCCAGATAACGCTCACCAGCTCGCTTCAGGGATACTGCACATTTTTCTTACTCAAGTTTCAGGTATCCAAAATGTTGTGGTATCCAAGTTCAGCTCCAAGGAGGAGATCATTCAGGTAAAAGCTGCTTTCTGAGTTTGGAGTAAAAGGAATTGAGAGTCCGAGAAGCTCCTTCACAGAGGTATAAAGGGAATTATACTGGTGTAATGAGAGGCATAATGCAAGCCTTGATCCACAAAGACCCTTTGACAGTTTATTTCATTTTGGACATACTAATGTTTTGAGCATGGGAAGTAGCCAGGTCAGTCCTTGGTGTCAAGCAGGACAGTGGCCATGGCTTATGGAACAGCAGAGGCTGCCCTACACCTACTATCCCCTCTTTACCCTTTGAAGTCAGAGTCCAAGGGCCAAGCCAAGTCCCAAATGTTAACTGACTCAATGGTTGTAGCTTCTGCCAGAGAGCAATAGATTAAAGCTGTTGCTCTCACGATTGCGTCCCTTAGCCTTTCTCCAACCAAGAAGTACCCAACAGACAGTGGGGGTCAGGGGTTTGAGGCACCCTAAATTCACCTTACTTTGGAGCTTGCAACGTTATAGTATTTTATAGGAGCTACCCCACCACAAGTAGCCCCACCACGTTGCCACCAAGCTCTCCAGGCGGTTGCAGATCATGGTCCTATCCAGAGTCAATTAGCAACAGGTGAGTACCAAGATAAGATGAGGTTCCCCTACACATGGGACAAGATCACAGTTGAGTACAGAGGTAAAAGAGAAATTCCAAGGAGAACAGCAGCCAGGACCTGGGGGTTACAGTGGGCAGGCTGCCCAGAGACATGGTGGGATCTCCATCCTTCCAGCTTTATAACAACCAGCCATACAAAGCCTTGGCTTGGATGATATAGTTGGAGCTGCTCTTGCTTTGAGCAGGGGGTGAACTAGATGTGACCTCCTGAGGTCCCTCCCAACCCTCATTCTCTATGATTTTATGATTCAGGAGCAGGCTCTCAATGAGCTTCCCTCAGTGAGCTCCAACCCCAACATAGAAGGTTTCAAGCCAAAGGCTTGTCAGCTTGACCCATCACTGGCAAATTGGGAGGCAGCATGCAGAATTAACCCCCTCATGAATTACACATGCTACTCTCCATACCACGTTCCTATATCTCTCTGTGCTTCCTTTCCCCACAGGCAGTGACCTGCAGCTGCTTCATTCCTGTCTATAATGGGTACATCCCTCCCTCTTTCCAGGGTGCGGTGAGTATCCTTGGCTGAGACCCAGGGAATCTCTCGGCTGCTGCCAGTGGCTTTTGTGATCAACACAGATAAAAAAAAAATCAGGAATCTGACCCTTAAGCCCTCCCCATAGTTCCTCCTCATCTGATTTCTAGCGGAGCCAGGAGCCTGTGAACACGGGTCAGGATTTTAGTTAATTACTGATAAGGGTGCTCCCTCCTGCTACCACAGGTCCCTCCATCTCCAAGACCTTTCCCATGGAGATCCAACTCCCACCACACTTGGTGTCCAAGCCTATCCTTACAGTCTTCCAGAGCAGAATGACATCTGGATGGCAAACTGGATAACCAGGGCATAGTTATGTTTTGTAGATATGAGGGAAAAATCTTAAAGCAGCCCCTTCCCTCGAGTTGCATGCCCAGATGAAACAGCTGGTTCCCCTGTAGGGAGAAAGAGTAGAAGGAAAGTTCCTCCCTCAGAGACCTTGGTATCTTGGACACAGCTGGTGGACAATCAATTAGATGGGAAGCGAACGTGGGGGAAGATGCAACAGGGAAGGAATGAAGACTTGCAGAGCTGCACAAGCACCTCACTGCTTGCTGGACCTTAGTTGGCTACCTGAGATTGAGAGGCCTACCCGAGGATGGGAGTCCTAAGGCCAGAAGGGTGCAAGATGAGACAGTGGCTGTCTGGAATGCACAACAGCGCTGGTCTCCAACAAAACCCAAAGAAAATGAGATTGTCAGAGGTGCTAGCCAATGACTGATAGCTGTTACCTAACACAGGTATTGTGCCGGTTTTTTTTCTAGTGCTATATTGATGGAGCCCTCAGTAACCCAGAGGCTTCGTTCCACAGATCCATGATTACAGTGTCTGGGTTTGCATTTGACAATGACATCTGCCCAAGGGATAATCCAGGCACTTACCTCAGTGTGTACATGTTGCAGCAGGTATTTCAAATGTCACCAGAAAACTTCAAAAGGCTGGTCTGTTGTCTTTTTCCACCCAGCCATCTGGTGAGTAGCAATCAGAAATTGATATAACCCTAGAATTACCGTCTGCTGTGTGGGTACAACAAGCATTGTTTACAAGCCTGACATCTTTTCTCCGTAGGCGTTACATGAGTTCTTTTTACAAGGGTATCATGACGCCGGCTTCTTCTTGGAAAGAAATAGTAAGTATTACACTGAGTGGGGACAGAGAAGAGATGATATTCCCTGAGGGTGGCCAGACAAGAATTTTAGTTCATAAAAGTCTCTGCATCTTACAACTGACTAGGAGCCAAAACTGCATTGGTTGCCCACTAGGGCTGTGCAAAGCTTCGATCCCTGATTCAATTCGGTGGAGATATGGCCCAGTTAGGTGTCCGAATCTCTGAATCCAAATTGAATCAGAGGATCCATAGTTTCACAATAGTTTCATAGTAGGTAGGGTCAGGAGGCACCTGAACAGGTCATCTAGCCTGACCCCCTGCCACAGGCAGGAATGAATGCTGGGTTCGCAAGACCCCAGACAGGTGATCATCCAACCTCCTCTTGAATTTGCCCAAGGTAGGGGCGAGAACCACTTCCCTGGGAAGTTGGTTCCAAATTTTGGCCACCCTAACTGTAAAAAATTGCCTTGTGATCTCTAACCTAAACCTATTCTCTCTCAGCTTATTACCATTGACCCTTTAATTTCTCCAAATTGAATCAGAACCCTCTGAATTGATTCAGAGAGATCTAGAAAGATTCAGACATTTGGACACAGACAGCTTTAAATGTTTATTCTCCATACCTCTAGGTAGCATGGGCTTGTGACTGCTGCAATGCTGGGGTGCATGGAGTGTCCCACAGGAGCACGGGGGGCTCCCCAGCATGCTCGGCAGCATACCCAGAAGTTGACAAGAAGCAGCATGCGGGGGGGACCCCTGCATCCCTCCAGTTCGGTGACTGGTGCCTTCTGGGTCTGAAGGGGTGGGTCCCTGGGGCCCTCCTGTGGCTGATCGCTGAGCCAGGGAGGCAACCCCCCCTCCCGGCAGACCCAGAAGTGGACTGGAATTACTTCTGGCCCACTTCCAGGTTTGCCGCCAAGCACGTGGAGCGCCCCCCACACTCCTGTGGGATGTTCCATGCACCCCAGCATCACAGCAATCAGGAGCCACTCCTGCTACTTCAAGATATGTAGAAAAAACTTTTAAAGCCATGTCTGTGTCCGAATCAGCATCGAATCTTCAGATTCAGATTCGGCCAAATCGAATCAGGGACAGTGATCCAAATCAACAAATCGAATCACTGTCTCTGATTCAGGCCAAATCCAAATCCAAATTGAATAGGGCCCACTTCACACACCCCTATTGCCAACTACCAGTCCCATCTCTATTATGGGAAGCAATCCCAGCAGCCCCTGCTTCTGCTGTTGCTATGGCAGCAAGTGCTGACCAAACAAGTCTATCACTGAGCGTGTTCTGCTCACGTGCAAGCTCCATAGGGGGAAGAAGGATGGGAGGTGAGAAGCAGATCTCTAACACAATATTGGAGAGTGGGCCTTTTTGGTGAATTTTGCACACTTCAGCCAGGGAGCTGTAAACATTTGCACGCCCCATGGTAGTATGTTTTTTTATAAAGCTACACACTTCGTAACACTACAAGAAGAATGTGTGTCCAGGGTCCAAGGGTATGTATCAGTCTCCTGAGTTACAGTTGGTTATCACACAGCTCTGAGTATTTGTGAGGACTGAATCTTTCTATTCTCCTTTCTAACAGGAGAGTTTGGTATAGATTATCTTGCCAGGAACACGACACTCCCATTAGCCAGCGAGTCCCATAAGAAACACTTGTCCCAGACCAGTGGAGGGTCTTGGAACAAGAAACCATCAACAAGGATCCTCACTTCCACTGATGCAGCATACAAGGACCTCACCAGACAGCATGGAGCAATGAGCAGGGCAGAGAATGAAACAGAGGAGAAAACACAGCAGTTGCCCCTATACTGAGACCAAGGTAGAGGATAATCAAGATCGCTTTTATTCCTCTGGTTCTTGACAATCAAGTAACAGTGACATTAGGATCCACGTGAGCACAAGTCCCAGTGAAGGTCAGGGTCAGTGTGTGCTCCCAAATTCATTAGGGCAGCCTTGGCAATGTTCTCTTGGGATCATTGCTTATTCACACCTGACTTTCCTGATCAAGAATGTGCTCAAAGCCACAGCCCCCTATTACACACCTTATGTTTGAAAGGAGACATTGGGGTCAGCAGACCTGTCCAAACTACGTCCATTGGCGCACACACTTCTATTGTTAATGCTCTTTTTGCTTACAAACACTTGGACATAATTTTTTTAACCTTTCTAGCTTATAAAGACAGAAATAAATCTTCGCTAGGGCTTAGCAGATACAATTTGTTCCTGATTTTTCATAACTTCTAGGGAACACACACTTCTAATGTAAATGCTCTTTCTACTCACAAGCCCTTGGCCCTCTATGAGCTTACTTCATCTCTCTGCGTCTCCAGCCTTTCCTGAATATGAATGTACAGCATTTTAGTTAGACAAGTGTGCAAGCAGCATGGACACTTCTCTCATCTGATGCCTTGCTTATCTGCACTTATATTCAACTGCTTCTTAATACATTTAAATGAAACCAATGTGAGCCAGGTTGTAACCAAGATTTTCTAGTTTTCCATCATCTTGCATAAAATATTATTCACCCCAAAATGAAACATTGGTGCATGTGCCAAACCTGCATTTCAGATTTCAGATTTTATTTTTTAATCCAATCTCCTCTCGCCTATGGAGCACAACTCAATAAAGGAGCTCAGCCACGTCAAAGATTGAGACGGCTGGGTTGTTTTGTTGTTATCCTTTTGGGGGTTATCCAGCCCTCTGGAGCCCCTGACCATGAATGGCATCATACTTTTCCTGGGATGACTGGTGGAGGTCCTTCCCACAAATCTCAGGAACACTTCAGGTGATTCCAGTGATTATGTTCCATTTAGGTTGTGAAAGCGTGAACCTTCAAGGAAGGGAAGGTTGCCTTAGAAAATGGTATATAAAGGTTTGTTTTCCGGGAATTCTCTTATAGGAATATCTATATATATCTGCATTAGAATGGTTCAGGATGGGCGGCAGGGGTTATCTGATTTCTAAGCATCTGGGTAATACAGTCACACAGTTTCTCGCAGCCTTGGAAGCAGACAGGCTGTCTAACACAACAAGGCCAACAAGGACACATAGTCTGGAAAACAAAGGGAGCATGTACAAAATAGCACAAAATAAGGTGGCACCAGGTAACAAAAGCCCAGAGCAGCAGGGCCTGAGTCCTGGTTTTGGGGGAATAGACTACATTAGGAGAAGGTCTGGAAAGACCAAATTTGTATATGTAAATGTGATGAGCTTGGAACATGCTGATAACACAGGACATGGATGCATGACAACCATCCAGTGATAACCATGAATGCAGAGTCATCATGTGTCATCAGGAGGGAAGGAGAACACAAAAACAGAGCCTTGAGAGTAAGAAAAGGTCCCTCCCCATCATTCTCCCCGAGAGGGGTCCCCCTCCCTGTCCCCCAAGGAACGGTGCCTGAAGCCACCATGGACAGAGGGCACACCACCAACCTGTTTCATCCACCCCACTGAGGGGGAGTGCTAGCCTCGGCATCCCACCTACATACTGCTGACATCTGATACCTAAAAGAGAGCCTAAGAATGAAGACTGCAACCTGGTCAAATGAACTTTGACTCTGATGACAGCCCTAGGATTTGATAGAATATAGAATTGCTCCACTGTCTGTATTACTCCTTTTCTGTTATCACTGTGTATCAATAAATTTGCCTATTATCGAATGGAAAGGTCATGGTCAGTCTGAGGGTGGGTCTCCCCCTAGAACAAGGCCTCTGGATCCAAAATCCAGACCCAACAACCATCACAACCTACCTGGAGCCCCACAGGGAACAGCACATATCCTCTACCTGCCTTCTCCAACCTGAACCCAGAGCAGCTGGTATCTTTAAGAACCCAAGAAGCCGTTCCACTGCCAAGCCCTATGCAGGGCTTGCAATCTGCCCCAAGACAGAGGCTCTGGAGACAAAACAAAGTGTAAGCTGCAGAAATGAGTCACAGCCTTTCATGTGCTGCTGGGAGCGGCTCAAATTCAGTGACAGGAACTGATTTTGATTACAATAGTCAAAGCAGGCCAGTTCCTATCATACAACCCTGCTGTAAGTTGCCTGGGAATAAAGGAAAGCCGGTTGTTGAATAAAATAACAGAATCACAGAACAACAGGTGTGGGAGGGACATCAAGAAGTCACATCTAGTCCAAGCCGCTGCTCAAGGCAGGATCATCCCTGCCAAGTAGTTTCCTCACACACTCATGAAAACATCATGACCAGCACTCACATTGTTACAAGACACAAGATCCAAAAGCTCAGAAACATGTTAACTTGGTTAACTTCCACTCAGCTTCATCTCAAACATCCTATACCTCATCACCTCTAAGTTACACAGGAAAGCAAACACATAGTTAATATATTTGCTTAATTACTTTCATTTTGTAACTTGTCAGATGAAGATATGACCCACATGACTTAGGCTGTGGTATCTGGGGTTTTGTTTTTGGGGAAAAGGAGAGGAGAGCAGGAGGACACCTAGGGCAGAAAACCATTTCACCTGGTAGAAGACCAAAGTGTGGCTTGTGGTTTAGTCTCGCTCTTTGGCCAGTCTTTAGGGGCAATTCTAAATCCAGCACTGCATGAGCAGGTGTCCTTATTATACAACTAGGGAGGTGCTAGTGCTCCTCTGCTATTTCACCCCAAACCTCTCCTAGGGGAAAATGGTGACTGGTCTGCCCCCCAGTTGATACCATAGGGGACATATTCAGAAATTTGAAGTACCCAGTGGATCCCAGCTTCAGGGATGGGGCAGCCCTGGTGAGGGACAGAGTCACTTTGTCTCAGCCACTTGGATGCAGCCTCCCCACAGAGGAGCTGCCAAAGGAAGATTGACTTGGCCGTCAAGGAAGCATTATTGTTGGACGAGGAGAACCTGGTCACACTCTCAAGGAATGCAAGATGGACAGTGTTGACCACCATCACATGCACATTGTGTGTGTGGTGCCTGGTCACTAACACATGGGAGTACTGAAGGGGCTTCTTGTGGCTTATAATCCACACTATCCAGGACTTGTGGGATGTTGTCTAGGCAGAGCTTTCTGCAGCTGCTGCAGAGTGTCTCTGGGAAGTGAGCAGGACCCCAAGTGTCATGCGGCTGGAGTGGAATGGTCCAGAAGAGGTATGCTGCCCTCCCAGTGCATCTATTGGAGGGACCCAATGAAGTAGTATCACATCCAGAAATGCACAGATGTCTCCCTATTTTTTAAATGGGACAGTTAGTCCCCATGGGGGTGGGAGAAGAAAGTATAATAGTGCAAACTCACTCTTTAATCCTCCCCTGGCATTATACTATGGGAGGAATTCTAGTACACCCTTGTAGCCATGTAAAATGGAGAGTGCTGGTAAGTGCAATGAAGATGACCAATATTTAAGAGCCATTCTATACATACAGTGGGTCCATAAATGGCCCCATTATAAGCAGAGGGGGATGGGTAGTTATCCACAGGGTAAGAGTCTATGGTGTGTCTGCTCTCCCATACACAGGCCACAAGGCAGGATAGGAGCAGTAGGAGTTAAAAGGTTACAGATCTAAAGCTCTTTGGAAGACAACAGGAAGCATCAAAACATTTGAAACCTATTCAAGAACATCCAGAGGTAGCCAGAATCATTCCAGGTTTAAAACAGGCAAGGGAAGCATGCAGCGCAGTTCAAATGAGTCTGGTACAGTAAGTACAAAAGGAACGAGGGAATGTTGTGAATACATTAATAAAATAGCAATTGAAAGATGCATGGCACCAAAGATATGTGCTTAGTTGATGATCAGGAACATAATTGGTTCCTAGTTGCAGATCAGCAATATGATTGGTAAAAGGGCTTCTCTAATGCATAAATACTTACAAGATATCAGAAAGATGGCATAAAAGCACACTTTGGATTTGTGTTTAACCCTGTACTATCACTGCAGTCAACAGCCAGCTTGATTACCCAGCTGAGAGCATGAATTTATTTCTTTGATTCCTACATTTCCTCCCCAAGAAAGGCACAGAGTAGCTTAAAATACAAGACAAAAATGATAGAAATGGAATTAAATCCTCAAAGACAAAGGAGCAGCAAAACAACATCCCTCAAATCCTCAACATTTAAAAGCAATCCACCTCACCCCACTAAGTTTAAACTCACTGGATAGCTGCATGCTTATTTGAACCACATTGTGGAAAGACCTAACCAGCCCTTGGAAGTAACAACACCAAGCAGGGCCCTAGTTAGCTCAGCTCTGGACTGATACATTCTGGGTATGTCTACATGACATGCTAAATGCTCAGCAGACTAATTCTACTGCACATTAGCATGTCATGGCAAAAGCCATGCTAATGCACTAATACACAGTACACTTAGTTCACCATGCATGAGCATCACTAATAGACCATGTGCTGGTGCTACTGCACTGGTTACTGCATATTTAGTACCTGTTGTTATAAGTACTAAACTTATTGCGTAGTAACAATGGTGCATTAATGCATGTGTAGACACCCCCACTGAGAGGCAGAACCTGTGCTCCTTTCATAACATCACTTCAGCAGTTGGAACAGGTTTCTCAACCTCTCCAAG